ATGGAAAGAAACAATAGAATTTTCTGTAATCAATCAAAAAGTCCGCATGACATTGTGCAGAAAGTGGTGGGGAAGATTTGCTCCTGGGTGTCGGTGAATGAGGAGTTTAAAAGTCAGAATGTTTCTCTCTTTCTTTGTACTAAATCATGGATGTTCTTGTAATATGTTTTGGGCCCAGGATGGCCTAGTTGGCCTGAGTCTGGTTGTAATTGGCTTTCTCATTGAATAAAATAACTTTACCTTTTTCCAAAAAAAAATAAATAAATAAAGTGAAGAGAACCATATTGTTAGAAAATATCCTTGCTACAGTGAAATATTCACACCTCAAGTTGGTAGCCCAACAAATGGCAGCAAAGGGGAGGAAAAGGAACAAAAATTCAACCTAGTACAACACCTCTCTGGCTCTCTCCCCAATTAAACAACACAAGTGTGTTTGCATACTTCAACCTCTACAGTGTTATCTTTCACAAGGATTATCTATTGTCATATGAGAAGCAATGAGAGTATGAGACAAATAGGGATGATCACTTCAGTCATTACCTAAACCTGCTCAACCTGTTATCACATGTTCCCCAGGTTTCCTTTGTATTCAAGTTTGTAATTATTTGAGCAAGGGTTCAACTCTGATGCCAGAAAGACATGATACCAAAAAAACCTCTAGCCAATCAACCAGCACCATAAAAGTGGTAACCAATCATCAAAATTCAGGGGGGGAGGGGGGACTGTTTGATTGGCCAAAGCCTTTCCAGTATATTGTCTACCTTGCATCATAGATTTTTCCTTGAGCAAATTATCATTTCAAATACATAGTTTTTCTGTTAGAAGCATTCCCTTTTTGTTGTTCCAGGGAGGGGAGCTTCTTAATCTCCTAGAATTTCTCAGAAACATTGAACTAGCAAACAACCCAGTCAAGATCACTGGTTTGCAGGTAAGTTTAAAAAGGCTACTTCATAGATGGTTAGATAACACCATATGAATTTAGCAAACAATTTACTCACATAGCATCTCTTGCAGATGCAGCCTCATCTTCAAGAAGTAATCCACGCTCATCCTTGTAAACACGATCAGCTTCTTCTTCAATACTTTGCAAAGCTTTATCAACCTAACAAGAAAAAGAGATGCAATTCAATCACATAATGATGCTCATATCCTCGTAGAAGCAATGGGGAAAGTGGGTCGGGTAATAACTACTAACATTTTATTTTATTGACAAGGAAAAAATTATGGGAAAAAAGACTTAAACCTCCCTTGACGTTAATGCGAAATACTAGAACCCCCCCCTCTTTTTAAAAAGGACTAAGACCTCTCCTCTGAAATGCATTAGCCATTATGTCTAATGCGAGAGTCAAAAAGACAATTATACCCTATGGGCTAAATGTTGGGTTATGTGGGATGGGTTTCTAATAAAATAAAAAAAGAAAATTAGACATCATCTTCAATGTTTGAACAATGGCAATCTCCGCCGCAGCTCATACCACCACTGCAACTAAAAGCCAAAACAAGGGCCTGAATGGATAACTAAATGCAGCCCAAGTGGGTAAAACATTCCTTCCCTATTCCTTTCAGATTCTTAAAGTCCATTTTTAGAACCAAAGCAAGAATTTTATTTGTCACCAGCAACAAGCAACAACATAATGGAAACAAATCTGATCTGAAATCCAGGAAAAGTTAAAGAATATCTCTTTGCAGAATAAGAAAATTTATATTGACCAGCAACAAACAACATAGTGGAAATAAATTTCATTGATCTGAAACCCAAAATGCAGAAACCTAGGAAGAAAAGAAGGGGTGTGCAGTTTTCTTTGAAGTCCCTAAAGAGACCCAATAAACTAATAATAGTATGAACTAGTTACTGCAAACAAGGGCAAATCGGCATCCCAACAGGCTAACTTCAATTTGCAGTCATGAGCAATGTTTTAAAAACCGACATTTTAGGCCAACAAAGGTTTTTTTGGCAAAAATAGAGGCAAGGCGCCTTTGGCACTCGAGGCAAATGGATCTCAAAAAGTTACCCGAAATCAAAAAAGATCACAATTGGACATCTGAGTGCAAAGTTTAGCCTCCGGAAGTTTGCATGCACAATTAGTGTGCAACCCATGACCCAATCACCAAGTCGAATAGGTCAACAGTTCAATGGCCCAAGTCGGATGGATTTTGACCAGGTCAACAATTTTTTTTACCAAAGTCTGGGTTTTAGGAGAACCGGACACAGAAATATGGTCAGCTAACAGTTCAAATCAATGTTTTAAAACGCAGACGCAAGGCGTTCCACTACCTAGAGTCATGAGGCATAGTTCAAAACGCAAGAGGCGTAAGCCTCCCGAACACAAGATGGCATAAGCCTCCTTAAGAGGAGGGGGGCTAGGAAGAGGATGAAGAGGAAGGGGGATCTCATTTTTTCTTTATTTTTAATAAAAAATCTTTTATGCTAAGAAGAATAAAGATGCATAACATTATTTGAAAGGGGGGGTCTTGTCGAAAAAAGTGTACGCCTCTTGCACCTGAAGCGTACACTTCAGAGGTGCCAGCACCTTTGGCATACGCCTCAAGGCGTTTTGGGAGAGCCTCACCTGGAGGCGCGCCTCTAGGCGTATGCCTCCCATGCCTTTTAAAACACTGGTTTGAATAGTTCAACCAGTTGGATCAATAAGGGTTCAAAACACTAGGCATAAATTTGTAAAAAAAGGGGGGTAAAAATAACTTATTCCTAAGTGGACAAAGAAAAGATATATGGATTGTTTGTTGGTTGCTTCTCCTATAGAAGTATAACTTATTCCTAAGTCTTCGGCATCACTTGTACTCATGGCTGAACTTCCATTCTTAGTTATTCCTAAATCTCATTGCCATCACTTGTGAACTCTTCATTTTCATCCAACTGCCTCAAGAAGCATTCTTCGATTTAATTTAGATGGTCATCTTCATAATTATCAAACCTGTTGGCATGCTCAAATTATATTCTACTGCAGATCAGTGTTTTAAAAGGCGTGGGAGGTGTACGCCTAGAGACGCGCCTCCAAGAGAGACGCCCCCAAAACGCCCTGAGGCATAGGCCAGAGGCGCCGACACCTCTAAGGCATACGCCTCAGGGGCAAGAAGCCTTATGCACACCACATATAAAAAGACAAAAAAAAAGGAAAAAGAAAGAAAAAAGGAAAGAAAATGAAAGGAAAAGAAAGAAAAAGAAAGGGAAGGGAAAGAAAAAGAAAGAAAAGGGAAAGGAGAGGGAAGGGAAGAATAGATAAGGGGAAAGAAAGTGGGCCAGGGAGGATTACGCCTTCCTCTTCTTCCTCCTCCTCCTTATGCCTCCTTGTGTTTGGGAGGCTTACACCTCACGCCTCTAGGTAGTGGAGCGTCTTGCATCACACCTCTGCATTTTAAAACATTGTTCCAAGAGTCATCATCCTATTACATGGTGCACCTTTCTCAATTCTCAAGTTTTATGTTGCAAACTGGACAAATTAAACAAGTATATATACCACCTTTTCTAGTTTTTTTTTTATTGGAAACAGTAACTCTCATTAATTCTTTAAGAAACTTAGTACAACTATCACCTTCAAAAAACAAGGTGACCCCTCCATAGATTACAAACAGGCCCAAAAAAGGTTCTACCTACTAACTCCTTGCTTTGCTAAAGTACCAGCCCTTGCATTGGCCAATCTCCCACTCCATTTAAACCTGACTTCAAGCTCCCTTGTTAGTTGCATAATCTACCTTACAGGTTGTCTAAGGGACCAAGCGCCTAAGTTGTTTGTTTGCATCCAACCTATTACCAGTTTCAAGTCTCCCTCCACTTCCAACTACTGAAAACCCAGCCGTTTAGCCAGCTTGAGCCCTTGTAGGAGTGCCAAAACTTCTGCCCTAAGAGAGTCCCCCAGTCTTGTCGGGCCAAGACATTTCCTCCCCCATCTCTAAAGACACCCCCAATTCCAGAGGGCCTTGGATTACCTATAGAACTGCCATCAAAGTTTAAGTTAACATCCAAAGATAACGGGGGCGACCAGTCCTCTTGAATAGCTTGAGCCCTTGTAGGAGTGCCAAAACTTCTGCCCTAAGAGAGTCCCCCAGTCCTGTCAGGCCAGGACATTTCCTCCCCCATCTCTAAAGACACCCCCAATTCCAGAGGGCCTTGGATTACCTATAGAACTGCCATCAAAGTTTAAGTTAACATCCAAAGATAACGGGGGCGACCAGTCCTCTTGAATAGCTAAAGAGGGGTAGGAAGAAGTTGCTACCACACTCCACCCTCTAATTAAGTCATCTACAAAGAAGTCCTTGAACAGATCCAGCGATTTCAGCCAATGTATGATCTTGACGGTGATCCCTTCTATGACTTCATGTGCTGATTTTTCTTTCCCTTGAAAGATTTTGTTATTTCTCTCTACCCACACTGCCCAAACAACTATTGCCCTCGTTGCTCTCCACATTACCCTTCCTCTTTTCTTTGACTGACGAAAAAAGCCAGATTCAAAAAGATCCACCACGCTTGTAGGAGGAACCCACCTACACCCAAAGAGAGAGGAAAACAATCCCATATAAGAGTAACAAAAGGACAAGATATCAATAGATGATTTACCGTCTCACCACTCTTCAAGCAAAGGCTACAAACATGAGGGGATAAGAACCAATTCGGTCTTTTTTTCTGAAGCAAGTCCAAAGTGTTGATTTTTTGGAGAATCACTTCCCAACAAAAATCCCTCACCTTTGGAGGTACAAGAGCACTCCACACTTCTTTTATAGGAAAAGAGTAAACTAAATTGGAAGAGTGCACTAAAGCATTGAAGAAAAAAGAGCATGAAAAACAACCAGAGGACTCTTCATACCAAATTCTATTATCAGGACAAGAATGATCCAAAAACACTGAATTTAAAGGGAGAAAATATCATCTGCCAACCCTATATCTGACTCTCTCAACCCTCTCCTGAACCCTAAATCCCACGCCTCATCCTTAAGACGCTGGTCCCCAACCCAAACGTCCTCCCAAAAAAGGACCTTATTACCCGAACAAGCGCCATACCTGATGAAAGGAGAAAAGGCAGGCAAGATACCAACAATGTCTTTCCACGAAGAGGAACAAGAAGCTTGGGTTGATACCAGCATCCCATCCATTTGTTGCCAATCCATGTATGCTTTCTATCACTCTATGCCACAAACTTTCTTGCTCCTTGGGAAACCTCCACAACCACTTACCTAAGAGTGCTATGTTTCTTAGATGGATATTTCCAATCCCTAAACCCCCTTTGTCTTTTGTCCTAGAGACCATTTCCCACTTCACTAGGTGATCCTTTTTTGAGTCCCCAAGTTCCCAGAGGAAATCTCTCATTACTTTTTCCAACTGATTTGCCACCTTGATAGGCACTTTGAAGGTAGACAGGAAGTACACAGGCAAATTTGCTAAGGTTGACTTAATTAAAGTGATTCTACCTCCTAAAGAGATGTAATTCCTCTACCACCCTACTAGTCTCTTTGTGAATCTTTCCAAGACTGGGTACCAGAAACTTTCTAACTTTGGGTTTCCCCCCAGGGGTAAACCCAAGTATTATATAGGCCAATCACTCCGCTCATAGCCTAACAACCTAGCCAAGGAAGACACCTCCTCATCTATCTATTAACCCTAGCCACACAACTTTTATTCCAATTCACTCTCAAATTAGAGACCTTTTCAAAACCTTCTACCAACAATTTCAAATTGATCATCTCCTCAGGCTCTCCCTCACAAAGAGAATTATATCATCTGCAAATTGTAAATGAGTAACCACTACTTCTTGCCTCCCTACTCTCCACCCATGAAAAATATTTATGGAGTCACCTCTAGAGATCATAACACTCAAAACATCCACCATTAAGGTAAAAAGGTAGGGGGAAAGAGGGTCCCCTTGTCTTAGACCTCTCTTTGCAGGGAAAAAATCCCTAGCTACCCCATTCACCAAAATAGAGTAGTGGCATGAAGTTGCACAACCTTTTACCCATCTACACCACCTTTCTCCAAAACCTTTGTTTCTTAATCTACCAAGTCACAAGCCTTTTCCAAATCAAGTTTGCAGATCAACCCCTTCTCTCCTTTTCTCTTTCTATAATCAACACACTCATTAACAATAAGGACTT